TATCAATGATAGTACATACACATAAGCACAACCCATGATGGGGTGATATAGCTTCCTTAGCAGCATGTAGTTTAAACGAGTAACAAAATATTTCTGATGCATCAGAAAAAAAAATTATTTTTCTCACTTAATAAATATGTTATATTAATATTATGATAATATCATATTTTTGGTCCAAAATATTTACGTAACGCGATAAAATGATGGCTGACAGAATTATGTTATACTCTGGATAGGCGCGTGAGACGATATAATAATGGCTGTTGCAAAAATATATATACATTTCAATATTAGTACCTTCGAAAATTATGACAACAGTTAATTAACAAACAGTGGATTGTGTACAAACGGTAAGGATCAACTAATAGTCAAAACTGACCAGAATTATATGCATATTTATTGATAAGATTTGATTTTAAATATTTGGATTATCGGTGTGGAAAAACCAACTTATTTTGTAATATGTGTCAATAATATATTAAACTTTTAATATAATATAAACCTTTCGCTCAAAAATTCGTTTGTATAAACGTAATTATTTGCTATTTTGTTTATTATTTAATTATGGGTTTATCGGTTATTCCGGCAGTACAGCAGATATTCGTCGGTCAATCGAATGAGACGTGTGTCTAACGAAAAGAGCTGAGCTCTACGCGTAGTTTGAAAATCAGTTGATTGTACTGTTCATTATTACGAACTATATTAATGTAATTCCGTTTTAAAAAGCCGTTCATTATTCCTGTGTCACTACACAGATATGGTCATACAACTGAAATTAAATTTATTTTGAAACCTAACCAGTCGTTGTAAAACTGCATCAATTCCAGACGATAATTCGATATATGCTTGCCCTGGAAGTTATTTTATCTACGTATTTAGTTTTCTCTGTACATGGATGATAAGGAAAGGGGAACACGCAAATAAATTAAGTAAGAACATTTTCTGTCTTTATTTGATAGTTATTAATTTTTAAGTTTTGTGATATCCAATATTCTCAAATCTCATTAATTGTATCCGAGCGCTCCAAAAGTATTTTTTATATATTTTTTATTTTTTATGACATTTATTTACTAACCATTCATCGCTAATTCATTTAAGATAAAATAATAAATGCAATTTTTCTTTTTATGTCAATAAATATTTATTAGATTGATTTTTCTCGTAATTAATAAAATATTTTTATTCAAGATTGTATCAAGGGAGGGTGAGAGGTGCCTACGCCTTGAGCGCAATTATTGGAAGGGCGCAAAAATGAAACATTTGTATTTTATGTTAAAAATTTCAGCGGTCAATAATGTTTATTTTATTTATTAAACCTTCAGGGTCCTTTATATTTATTGAAGCGATTTTTTAAAATAATATCTAATAATTATAATATTTTTATATTAAAAATACGTACAGGCGCATTTTGGAGTTTCACTCAGGGTGCAATATATAGATATGTTAGTACTGTACTGAATTACTGCTTTTACAATGAACTAAAAAAGATATATAAACGAGATATTCAACTTAATTTTAATTACAATTTGAAATTAAAAAGATTTTTAAATATGGATTACTTTAATTTTTAATTAAAATTAATACACTCTATTTTGCATTCAATTACATTTATTAAACGTGTAATGTATATTTGGAGGTGAGATTTTGCAATAAATATAGGTACTTTCAATTAATTTGGTAGTTATTATGGTAATAAAAAAATTTTAACCACAGTCAGATGTTGATCCAATTGCAATTAATTTTTATTTGTATATTAAATTTAGATTTATTATGTGCAAACATCTAAGGAATATATGAAGAAACTGTTTAGAAATTAATAATATTATTTATATTTTATACTGCTTGATGAATTAATTTAAGTATACTAATAAATGATAAGAACAAAATATTTTTCAATCGGTAGATAAAATGTTCGTTAAATTTTATCACCATAAAATCATCTAAAATCAGTAGTCTTCTTCTTCTTCTTCTTGTGGGGTACGGCCTTCAAGACCAAAATCAGTAGTCTCAAATATTATTTTTTTTATTTTTATTTATTTCATATATAATATATTTATATTCTAATATTTATTATATGAAATGTTATTATGAATGTTTTAATTTTGCTAAAAAACATTTTTTCAACATTTGTAGTCATTTTATTATTATTTTATTTCAAAATTTGTATTACATTTTTATTATAGATATGTATTATACAAGGATATGTTATTTAAATTTTTTCTATTTAAACGTTATTTTAAAACATGTATCCATGATATTCTTTTATTATTTTAAGAAGAAAATATAATACAGTGAAACCTCCCTTAATGGACACCTCTAAATAGCGGACATTTTTTTGGGGATGGGGACATTTTCACCATTTATGTATAGGAAAACCTCTAAATACAGAACACTCTAAATTACGGACACTTTTGTGACATTGATATTAGTAATTTTTATCATAAATTAAGAATTATTTTGAAATACCCAAATAAAAACCTGAATTATTAAGTTATCTTATGTGTATAGGATTATATTGTAACTGAAAATCTTATCTTATCCGTTCAGTTATTGAAATATTATCGCGTCAACGAAATATTGTAACTAATGCATTGCCCTATGTGCGTTTAGTTGTGATTGTGATGCCATCGTTTATTATAGTGCGAATTTATTATACGTATTGTTTATACGAACGTTTATTGTAGTGCGCTATGGCCAGTAAAAGAAAAAGATTAACTCTAAAAGAAAAAAATATACATTTTGGAATTTCGAACATCAAATACAAATACAATGGGCGTTCGTGTATTAGCAGACAAATTTAGTGTTAGTAAAACACAAATTGCAAATATTATAGCAAATAAAGACGCTCTTTACAAAACTTGGGCTGAAAATGGAGAAGATAAATGGAAATGTACAAAGCTACAAAAAACAGAAATCTCTATAATTGACAATGAAGTATTAAACTGGTTTTCAAAATTACGAGAAAAAAAACCATCCTGTTTCAGGACCGATGCTTCAAGAAAAAATTAAGCAAATCGCTGAGATGCACGGATTTGATTTTAAAGGCTCTAATGGCTGGCTTGAAAAATTTCGGAAAAGAAATAATATTTCTTTTAAATCAGTTTGCGGTGAAGCAGCAAGTGTTGATAAAGAGGCCGTCGATAACTGGAAAGCAAAAATACCCGAAATTATAGAAAATTACGCAGAATGCGATATTTTCAATGCAGATGAAACGGGATTATTTTATAGAGTTCTACCTGATAAAACCATGGCATTTAAAAATGAAATATGTACTGGAGGAAAAATTTCATAAGAACGTTTAACTAAACTCTTGTGTTCTAACATGTTAGGTGAGTTTGAACGGCCGCTCGTCATAGGCAAAGCTAAACGTCCATGAGCCTTCAAAAAATTGGTTATTAACAATTTTCCCGTCGATTGGTATTGGAACAAAAAATCCTGAATAACGACTGAAATAATGACTGAGTGGCTTATGAAATTTGATAACAGAATGGGTCAAAATAAAAGAAAAGTTCTACTCTTTTTAGACAACGCGGCTCCTCATCCACATTTAAAAATAAAAAATATTGAACTTGTGTTTTTTCCACCTAATATGACATCACATTGCCAACCACTTGACCAAGGAGTAATCCATCAGTTTAAGAAGTTATATTGTACGCAATTGTTATGTAAAGCTGTTGCCGATTTGAATGCTAATTCAAGTCAACCTATCAACGTGTTGGATGCAATTTACTGGGTGTCTTCATCTTCAAAAAATATTCAACCCGAAACATGTTTTTACGGTCTGGCTTTAGACACTGTGATTACAACGTTACATACGTTGATGATCTACTTACACCAATAGAAGAACTTGGCAATCTTATTAAGGTGATTGACAATAAAATTACGGAAAATGACTACATAAAACTAGATGATTGCGTAGAGACTTACGATGCTGATATCGAAAATCTATCTGATAGTACGGATATGTCTACATAAAATGAAGAAGAAAGTGATGAAGAAAATGATGTGTCCGAAGATCAAGAAATTCCAAAAATAAGAAGTCTACTAGAGGCATTGCTCGCAGTAAAAGACATACGTAAATATATTTCTTTTATCGAGGTACTGAATAGTTCATTGTTCTCAAACACAGTCCAATTAGAAAATGCCTTAACATACGAATAAACTACGCCTGCAATTAGTAAACAAACTAAAGTAACAGATTTTTTTTCAGAAATGTTAGTTTTTATTTTTTTTAAGATGTATTTAATTAATGTAAAAATAATATAAAATAAAATTATTGAATTTATTTATTAATTAAAAAAAATATTTTCCTCTAAATAGTGGACAAAATTTCGGCGACCAAGAGTGTCCGCTATTTAGAGGTTTCACTGTATATATATTACATCTACAATAAGTAAATATGATAACATTTGAATTACAAATAAATTACTGTAGAGGAAAACCATTCAGTGATATAATATTCTTAATACCTATAGTTGAATATATATAAATAATATTTAAAAATGAAATAAAAGTTCTTTGATGGAAATAATCTAATTTAAATTTATATCCGAAAACTATAATATACTTATATCCATTAAATTACATAAAACTTAAGTAATTTGTACATTATACTAGATAAAATTTATGCAAAATTATGATATATAAATATACTATTGATTATGAAAATATACATTATACTCAGAAAATTGGTTTCACGTGTATTACCTAGTTTACGCAATTTTTAAATATTGAAAAATATATATAATAATGAAAATATTTATCTTTTTTCGTTCACTACTTTATTACAGGTGATTAGACTAATAGATTAATTTTCAAAACTTGAACTTGACAACACTAAAATTTGAAAATCTATTTTAAATAGGTACTTTGAAAATCGGTCTTATTATTTTTAACAGTTACACTCAAGCAATTTTATTAATTTTTAAAAATGTATCATATCGGTATAATATCGATTTATTCTTTATTTGAAATTAACAATCATCATGATTTCGCTCAACATTTAAAATATGTGCAGTAAAAAATAAAAAAAATAATAATAATACCTTGTGAACAAAGGTATACATACAAGTTTTATACAATTGATAATCTTATAATTTGGAGGACCTTATAAAAATAAATTTTGTAATACCCAACAACAGTTGTAAAATAGCTAAAATACTTATATTTGTATCGAATACTTTATAACTTATAAAATAAATCGATTGCTTTTAATATATAAGCTATAAAGCCCTAAAAATATTTTATGCAATCTCGGTAATGCAGCTCTGGTCGGGTATGTTGGACTGGTCTTAATAGCAGAGATATTCCCTCGATAAATTTCAGTAGCCGCAAGTACCGAACCTCTAACTTCATTCGGCAAACACTTAATGGCGTCTACAGATTCCGATTGGTATTGGTCGGCCAGCTGAATCATCCTTTTAGAGTATTTTTTCAACTTCTTATCACCTAGAGATCTTGGATTCTTTTCATCACACAAGATCCTTATTTCTTCCTGTTTGTCATCCATATATTCGGTTGGTATATAGCATCGACCTAACGTCTTGCTATCAGTGACAATATCTCGTGCAATATTCACAAGTTGCAAAACCTTAAAATGAAAAAAAAAAACCACAGTTATGGATTAACGAAAATTATAATCTAGACAGAAATTTCTTACACGTCCCATTTGCTGAGCTTTATCAATTACATAATCGTAACTTTCAAGCAGATCAAATTTATCATCATCACATCTGTACATCATTATGTAAACACATAATACACCTACACTTCCAGCTACATAGTTGCAATATTCCATTAAATCGGCTTCATTTCGAAATAATCGGCCGTCTATGTCCCATTGGTAACCAGCGAGTAACTCATAAAATGGTTTCCGAGGCAAGTAAAATGCTATTCTGGTTAACGCACGAAAACTAGACATTTCGACATCAGTCAATTTGGTTTCATATTGTGCCCAGTTAATATTTACTGTATGAGATTTTTTTTTTACATCATAATCTGATTTTCTGTCTGCAAACAGTTCGTTAATAAATTTTTCAGTCAACTGTAGCTTGATTTTTTTCTTATTAATGTCTGGCTCATTGTCGATCATATCATCCGTTACACGACAAAATGCGTATAAGATTATTAAATCCAATCGAATTCCTAAGATTAAAACATTTGTTGTTAAAATATTTTGATATCGATAAAAATGTACTTAGACATATTTATTTATGTCTTATAGATGTATTTTTAAAAAAATGTTTTTTAACTAAAGAAAAGGTTTTAGATTCTGAATTAAACGAGAAATGTATTATTTCTACCTTGATATGCGTGTATGTGTGGATTTTTCCGACTGTCCCAATTTTAAAATGTTTCTGATAGGAAATATTTATGGACGTTTAAATATTAAATGTTTACCAAACAATAAAAATTGCGATAATTCGCTATATCTTTGTAGTTAAAATTTCATACAATTTTCAATTTTTGAACTCAAAATTCGCAAAAATTATTTATAAACGTTAAAAAATAAAATTTTAACTAGATTGAATATTTTAATGAATTTTTTCCATTAAACAGTATTTAGTCAAGTATATATCATAATTACAAAATATTAACATGAAATTTGCGCTTTTTTTGCGAAATTTAGAAAAATTAATGTTGAATCTTTTTACTGGGAAATTTGGTTTTTCTATTTTATTAATCATTTAAAAAATTTGGTTTCAAATTCCCCGTTCCTGTATCCATCCCAACCTAGAAGTTTCGTATTTTTTTGTCATTAAAAATGCATACAATTTTAAATTTTAATGTTAAAAATTTGACAATTTAATACAAGAATTTTCATAAGATTCCTTCGTAGTCAAAATAAACAATAGTTTATGGATGTACACAAAAATGTTTTATAACCATTGGAAAATAACATTTTGATGACATTTAGAGATGAAATCCCTGAGATTATGCCAAAACGATTGTAGAGAGGGAGGTAAAAGATTTACTCAAATTGATTTTTATGACTGAACCAAATCGGTAGGGGTACCTGCTTGAAAAAGAAAACTGGCCGTGGTGAACGATTTGGAAGCGACGTTCAAGACGTTGATGCTTTTTTGTATGTCTTCTGTGACAACGGAGGGCATTAAGTATTCAGAGACTATGAACGCTCGTAACATCTGATTGATGTACGGGCCATTGATGGCGAACCTTAACGGGTACTCGGACGTGTACGTTTCCATTATTCCGCGAGCTTTGTCGAAGCAAGCACCAGCCAGAACGATGGTGAAGTTCACCACGAAGAAGAAAAACGCTTCCTCGTATGGCAGGTCCTCGGCGACGAACACGTTGTAACTGGTTAATTTATTGATGTGCCAAACGTTGTTCTTCAATGCCAACTGGTCCACCCAGCACAGGTACAATGAAGGCAGGATGACGGCCGCGGTTGCAGAGACGATTTTTTTGACGAAAAAGTTACCGCCGCCGTACCACATGAACATCAGCACCGGGCACATCCACCACAGTACACAACCGGTGTAAAACGTGTGGTGCCCGGGCACGGCTATCTCGTAGCCAACGACCGCAAGGACGCCGAACCCTGCGATCGGGATCCACCGGATCAGCAGGTACGTGCTCCTGTCGTAGTTAAAGTTCAAGCACGGCGTCGACCACCGGACGCACAGCAACGCCCACAGGGACGTCATGGTGGACTGTATGACAAAAAACATGTACTCTTCGACCGGCACGTATCCTATGAACGCTAACACCCGGTCTTCCGGATACGTCCAGCCGCCTTTCCACACAACGTAGTTGTCCCACGGGGTCGTGTACACAATCGAAATGCCACAGATCAACGCGATCTTAAAGATTTCCGACCGAGTGAGAAATGGCCATGAAATCAGCGCTAACGCGCCGATCACCGGAAGCGTGTACATCAAGTGAACGTCCAAATAGGTTAACATTTTTGTACTGAGGACTGAAAACAATCACGTAGTTCCAATCTAGAACAAAGCACCAGGATTATAGTAATAATAAAAGCACTTTTTGAAATAATTACTGCAGGACATTTAACACAATGTTTGGAATATCGAATTCGGACAATTTTTCAACAATATCAAATATATATACATACATAATGGCGTATATAGGGGGTGTCTAGTGGGGAACAGACCCCCCCCCCCCCCCCCGAAATGTTTCAAAAAACTTAAAAATTATTTTAAACATTTGTTACATTTTAATGGTGCTTTTACATAATACGTGGAAAAATAATCAATACCAATAATTATGTTAATTATCAAGTGATGTGTGCAATGAAAAAAATTCTAAAATATGCTTTAGATGCTTTGAAAATTTGACAGCCTGATTTGTTTCCTAATATATATATATATATATATATAATTAAAAATGTTATGTATCTTACCAATAACTACTGCATCAGCTGAGAGGAGTTTTTCCACTCTTGGGAGACTAAAATCCTACGTACCAAATCAATGTGGAAACATCCGATTAACTAGATTAGTCTTAATGACTATCCATTGTAATATAGTACTTAACATTGATGATATTGTAAATAATTGTGTAAAAAAAATTAGAAAATGATTTTAACTTGGTTGCATTTATTTTATTCAATTGTACTTCAATAGTTTATTAAAATGTATTAAAGTTCTCAATTTATGGTTCAATGCTTATTATTTAGAGTTAAGTATATAATAAATAAATAAATTATAGTTGTATAGTAAATTTTATTCATAGCATATTTAATAATGTGATCAGTTAGGAAAATTTTTATTGCCTTGTCAAATAGTTTTGGGACATTCTATAAATTAAATGTAGATAAGAACCTACTGTGTCTTGTGAGTAATTCTTAAATAGCAGAGGTAATTTAACTCTGTCCATAGTAGCCCCTACCGCAAATATTTTCTATATACGCCACTGTACATACAGATAAAAATCAAACGGTTGAATTATGAAAAACATTTTCTTTCGACTATTTTAAATTTAAATGTTGTTCTATTTTAGATAAAATAGGTACATGGATCGATATTCTCTTATTTATTATTTTATCCATTTAGTAGATTACATATTGAACGTTCAAGTTTCAAGTGAACAAATGCCGAAACGTTTAATCCAATATCCTAGTATTTTAAGAATTTATAGATAAATTCTGAAAAATGCTCTAAAAACTTGAAGAATATCCTAACAACAGCAAAAAGGCTCAAAAAATGTATATAAAGTTAAATTTATCATAAAATGCAAAAAAATGCAAAATAAAAACTACATTAAATGAATCAGTATCATAGGCGGAAATCGGGGGGGGGGGGGCTTGAGGGGACTAAGCCTCCTAGTCCTAAAAATTTTAAAGTGACTAAAAATACAATAATCATTATAATTGTAAAATTCATTGTTAATAACTAAATTAAAAAAAAAATATTTTGTCATAGAAATTAAATCAAATTCATAAGATTTTACAAACTTATTGTCATGACTTGGAACGATTGTGATTAATATAATATTAATAATATGTAATAATATCCGTATTGTTTGTTTAATTTAATTAATTAATAATTTATTTTTAGAACACCTACTCCAAAAATGTTTGAGATAAAGCACCTAATTGTTTTTTTGGTTAAATTCTTGAGTATGTCAAATTGTCGAAACTTGTAAATTGCCTTGTTGAAATAAATAATTGCGTACAAGGGTACCTATAGGTGTAATAAGCAAATAATACTCAGCCCTTCCACTAATTTCATCAAATTTCCGCTTAAGATCAGTATCACTTGAAACACATTTTATTCTTACGGATCTATGGGACATCAGAAAAAAAAAGCATTTGCATCTACATTTTAATCCTACTTATTAAATATCTTATAATTTGTTAAACATTTGGTTCATTAAAATCTTTTTCATTTTCATGTATATCAGTTAAATAATAAAAAAAAAAAATCGCTAAAATTACGTATAAGAAATAAGCATTAGAAAAAAGTAGTGCTTTATATTATATTAATTTATTAGATTATTTTGCGTACTATTAATTTGTTAGTATATATATATATATTCTTATATAATTATAAGTTTACTTACCTGAGTGAGTGCATATACTTTAACTATCTAATTTTATGGTGTATTGAAACAATACCACAGTTCCTATAAATAATAAATTATAACTCACTGGTTTAATATAAACTAAGAAAATTATTTTTAATTTTAAATACTCTAATAGTCTTATATATTTAATAGTCTTCTAATGACTGTAATATAAATCTTATAAATCAGTAGTTAATAAAATATAATTTCAGTACATTCGTTATACGGTGGGGAAATAATTTTCATCAATTAAATTATCATAAAAACATTACAATTAAAGGTTTATGTAAATTGACTGTTTATCTAACGGTCATAGTATTCGTATTTTCTTTAAATGTTATCATTAACATACAATATATGATATTATTGAGTTTTTTCTTTTTACTGAATAAGCAAACGAAAAAAAAAACATATTAATAATCTTTGGTCATATGATATATTTAACAGTTGTAATAATTTTCTAAAATTACTCATTAATAATTACTACAATTTTATAATGTAGGTTAGGAATAAACTTTAGACACTTTCCAAAACCCCATTAGCACTATTACCCGGTGGCATATCCAGAATAACCCTTGAAAGTTACATAACATAATTATACATTTTTAATTTATCTGAAAATACCTGGCCCTACCACTAGCCCAACTACTGAGTATTGGTCCCACCTTAAATTTTTAGTAAACAGAAAAAAATTGAAATAGTTAATCGGAAAAATGCGAAAATATATATTTAAGAGAAATTTAAATACTAAGTACTATAATATTATGTATCAACACTATTTACAATCTAAACATAATCTTATTTTTTACAAGGCTCTACCTTATAATTTTTGGTCTTGCTGAGTTAAATATTTTAGTATTGCCACTGGATCATAAGCATATATAAAGATAAACAATTCAACTTAGGTTTACAAAAATCCATTATAATATTAAAATCTATAAAACGTAGATTTGAATTATAACTATATGGTACGAAAATGGCAATTTACAAAATGCAATTAAATTTTATTTTTCTTCTCGGCTAGTTCTTCCATAACAGCATAGTAACTAAGAATATTAGTTTATCATGTAATTTGTATAAAAACATTTTGTCTAGTTAACACTTGTCATCATGAATCCATGAAATATATAATGCATGTGTATTATCAATATGCCGTCACTAAACAGGAAAGTCTATGCATATTTTTTAATACTTCCCATTGCTAAATAATGGTAAAGATTAAAATATTTAAAATTTAATAAAATATATAATAAGATTTACCTAACCTTTGCTATCTGCTTTTCACTGTCATAATATTTGATTTTTTTTTAACCCGTGCTTTTGTTGAACGTTGGTTAGAATAGTTATTTAATTAGTTAATTCGACGAAAATTTACCATATTTTACTTTTGATTTTAGTCGTAAATTAGTAATAAACTATACAAACGAGGCGGTGAAAACTCTCTAATCATGTATGCTCTTGTAATACATAATCAGTTGAAATACTATTTTAATTGTATATACATAAATAACAATAAGTGTGTAAGAAATGAAACTGTTATTACCTTTTGGTGTGAAACATTACATTATTATTATCATTTCCATCAAGGTATATATAAGTATATTCTATATTTTCCATAGTTATAATAATAATAATTATTAGTTCGATACCATGATAAAATTGAGTTATATAACCTCTCGTCGAATTATATAACATATATATTCAAAAGTTTAATAATAAAAGAAAAATACAATATTGAACTCATAGTACATAGTACAAATCATAGGCTTCATACTTTAAATGAAATCTTATTTTTTTTCATAGTTATATAATATTATGTTTTCTTTTTTCATATTTTAGAATCTCATTATATGATATAATATATAATAAATAATGATTAAACTTAAATACAAATACACAATTATATTATTTCCTTGTAGTTATAATTTATATTTTTCAACTTATAAAATTAATTATGTAAATTAATAACGGTTGTTAAAAATGAATAAAAACAATTCATAATAAACAATATGCATATCACACATTAGGTGTTGGCCTTACATTTTTCAATTATTATTTTATTAATTTATACATGTATTATTAAAATTATATCGGTTCAAATACCAAGCATAATTTGCAATATATATTCTGACATAATATTTCAAAAATAATTTTATTAAATTTCCATTTGTTCATCACAAACCCCAACAAATATTTTAATTTAATCAAGAAACATAACGGTTGGTCTAATAATAACAACCTTAGGAATGTTAGCTTGTTTGTATTTCATTAAATAAAACTCTAATAGTTTCTTGAAGTTATATTACATTTTATTTAAAATACAAGTTAAAATATTGTATTCTGTTTTAATAAGAATGTGTTTAAACCGAACCAAAAATGTTGACCCATTTGTGTTAGGACGTAGTTGTGGTTAATTACCAAATAAAATCTATCATATACATACAAGAATAACAATATATACATTAAAAGTTTATACCAACAGTTAATATCTGACCGATGTGTTACATACTCATAATATTTCATATTTCAGTATTAAATTCATTATATAATGCTTAGTTATAGATAATTTAAATCGATCTACTCGTATATATTGTGTATAATATACACTTATACCTTACACACTGTATATATGTGAATCGATAATTGCAGAAACGTCACGAGTTACATATTTTATGAAATTGAGATATTAGTAAAAATGTGAATAAACTATTCATGTGTTTCTATGCGTTGAGTGATTACTTTTATTTATTTATCTGATAAAAAAAAGGATAACTAAAGAAATTTTTACACTCAACGCATATATCCACACGACTAGGAAACATTTTTCCTAATATATCAATTACATAAAATATGTCATTCGTGATGTTTCTGATATTATCGTTTAATGTGATATACGAGTGAAGTATATAAAATATACATATTATTATATGGGCAAAGTGAGTTAGTCGGGCATTATTATTACGTCTAAACTTTGAAGATTGAATATATGTCATATATTTTTGAAAGTGCAGTATATACAATTGTTAGAAAAATACTGTCTAATGGCAAATAACTGTTTTTTGGTAATCAACAATACAAACAAATGATCAAAAAATGTCAATAATGGTATTATTCTTAAATTGGTTATACTACGAAAAACGTTATAAAAAAAATGTTTGAAAAATGTATTGTAATACATTTAGACGAAATTGTACAAGTTTTGATAGTTAGGGATTATACAATATGAGTTTAGAAAATGACACTAATTAATTATTAATTTAATTAATACAATATTATATTACATAATACATTAATGATTATTAAAATTAAAATTTCTATCAAACTGTTATATAATAATTTTTTTTGCACTTTGTTAATCGATAATCAAGCATGCATTCGTATAATGGGTTTGAATTTAATAAAACATTAAATATATATATGTCTGTGTAACGTGTGTTTCGTGCTATAAAGTTTAAATATATCACTAATTTTATTGAACACAATACTTTTACGATATGCATTGTTCGATTATGTACACTTTTCAATTACAATAAGCAGTAAGGAAAATCATATATAATAAAATAAAATCATATTTTATGAAATTCGATGTGGTTTTAAACAGCCAAATAAATAGGATAAAAATGTTCATACAATAATAACTTTACTAATCAGTTTCCGGGTCTTGGCCCCCTTCTTCCCAGAAGAAAAAAAGTTGTGACAATAATGAAAAATTATATCAAGACCATTTTATTTTTACTAATTTTTTTCGATACACTGTAGTTTAATAAACTATTATACTTTTTCAAATATATAAATACATATTAAAAATGTTTTTTGTAAAAATGTTACGATTAGATGCGAGCCGCAAAAATCGATGACGCGAGCCGCGGTTTGGCCACCCCAGCTCTAAAGTTTCCTGATTAATATTTATAGCCCTTTTGTGAGACTCCAAGAGCTCGTCAATCTTGTAAAATATATGGTTACCAAATGACCAACACAATGATGTTTATTACTTAAATATAAAATATAGTGAATTAAATGTAAACCTGATTATTGGATCACAGCGTTGAACAATGGTGATCCGAATGACGGGCGGAGATAACACACGATGTACTTGATATGGTTCGGATATTAAGTTACTCGCGCTAAGATGGTAATCTGTTAATGTTTTACTACACATTATGATTAACCATCGATGTCGTGAGATGTATATCCCTCTTGTAGTGAGCCGGACTCGAAAAACTGACCCAGTACGATTCAACGACGAAATCCACCTTGGTTGCAACGTCGACTGCAATGGCCCGAAAGAGACGAAATGTTTAATAAAATAATAATACAGAGATTATTTTGTTTACTGGGATATAGTATTCAGCAATTGTGAACATATGCCTTAACAGCCTATTTAAAGGTTAAATCACATCTAAATTATTTTGGTGCTATGTTCATCCTTCAAATAAAAATACCCAGCACCAAGTATGCGGCACCAAAAGTGATTTTGAAACAAAGAAAAGTATCAAGGCTTTTTGTTGTTTCAAACACCATAAAATATTGAAAACATAATATTCGTAAAATACGAATATATGAAGACAAAACAATTATTGGTAATAATATTCCCTCTACGAATTAATGTTTAATAAAATAAAAAATAATTATATTAAAATAATATTTCTAGTAAAATATTTATGAGTACAAGAAAAATAGTGTAATAAGGAAAATATCTGTAATAAGAAAAAGATCCGCAGTTAGAAAAAACTGGATTACTACACTCCGTCGCACAATAATAATATTTTCGACATTAGAGCCGATTTGGCTACTAAACGGAGAAATATAAGACTTGCTTAAAACAGCTGTAATAGTATTATTTTAATGTATATGTATAATATAATTTACTGTGGTTTAAAAAATTTTAAGTGTGATTATTTCAAGTATTATAGTCATTAACAGGATAAAAAAACCAACTAGTAAAAATGGATACATATATAAAACGTATAATATATTTAAAGATACCACAAGATTTATTTTCAATTCGAATATTAGTTTAAATAACATTATTACTCAAATTGTATAAACGGTGCTAGTTTATTGCATTAAATTATATTAAAATATTATTAATGTACTGTTTATAACGAACAATAAGAAATTTGTATTACTTGGTTGCAAATAAAAAACTTGCTTCTTTAAATTTACCTAAAAAATTATAATACCGAAAAGAACTATAAATTTATCGCTTATGTATTTTTAGAAATTTTAATAACTACCCTCAAAATATAGCTCGTTGATATAAGTTTGCTCCTATATTTCATGTTATTCTGTAATAAAATTACTTAGAAAAATTAAATTTTCTGTTGCAAAATGAAAAAAAAAAAAATTCAAAATATAAATAATGTATAATGCGCAATATTTATTTTAAATGTTTTACATTTTCAACATTAATCAAATATTTATTCATTCTGTTTAAGGTTATAATGCCGTTTAAGATAATCATCATCGGAGCTGGAGTTGGTGGTACGGCTGCAGCTGCTAGGCTAAGCAAAAAAGGATTTGAAGTAGAAGTATATGAAAAAAATGCATATAATGGTGGAAGATGTTCAATAATAAACCAAAATGGACATCGATTTGATCAAGGTCCATCATTATACTTGATGCCGAAAATTTTCGAAGAAACATTTGAAGATTTGGGAGAAGACATTAATGACCACATCGAATTATTGAAATGTCCATCTAATTATAGCGTACATTTTCACGATGGAAAACAGTTTGAACTTACCACTGATTTAGCTAAACTATCTCGTTCCTTAGAAAGATATGAAGGCAGTAACGAATCTACGTTGATTAACTTCTTAAAATTTTTAAAAGAATCTCACGTGCATTATCAGAGAAGCGTTAAGGTTGCACTCAAAACAGATTTTCAGCATTGGTATGACTTTTTCCACCCGAAACATTTACCAGACGTAATGCAATTACATCTTTTGGATACCGTTTACAACAGAGCATGTAAATATTTTAAAAGCGATTACATGAGAAAAGCTTTCACGTTTCAAACTATGTACTTAGGGTATGTATATAATTATGTAATTAAATGTATAAGTAAAATAAAGTTTTTTAATATTTTTAGGATGTCGCCGTATGATGGATTAGCTCCTTACAGTTTACTGCAGTACACTGAAATAGCAGAAGGCATTTGGTATCCGAAAGGGGGCTTCAATAAAGTTGTGCAGTCTCTTGAAAACATAGCGGTACAACATGGTGCTAAGTTCAATTATAATAGCGATGTTCAGGAAATAATAGTTGACGATAAAGGGGTAGCTAAAGGCATAAAATTGAGGAACGGTGACGTAGTGAACAGTGACATTGTGATTTGTAATGCAGATCTCGTTTACGCGTACAATAAGCTATTGC